GTTTTTCAATTTTCGGAATTCATTAAATTTCTGATTTTCCATTTTTTTTTTATTTTTCGATTTTCCAGTTTTTCGATGTTTCGATTTTTCAATTATACGATTCAATTTCTCGATTTCTAAATTTTAGATTTTCCAATTTTAATTTTTTTAAATTTTTTCATGTTTGGACTATTTATTATTGCTAAAAATAAAAGTAAAAAATAACTACCAAAATTGTGACTAAAAATATGTAAAAATTAATAGAAAATAGAACACATTGCTGCTAAAACATAAAAATAACTGTACTTTCCCAAAAAAATCTATTGCATGATTACTGTTCCACTAGTATTGCTAATTTAGGACGTTAGTATCAAACGCAGTGAAAGTTTTAATTCTTAGTTAAACAAAAAAATAGTTGAGTGTCAAAATCGAGTAAAACATGTGAGACGTGTGTAAACAAAAGCATCTAAATAATAACTATTTCCCGCAGAATTTCTGGAGGCTTCTAGAGTCGACATTGGCCTGAACGCGCTCCGGTCTGTGGATCATACAAGTTCCCGGGCTACGATGCAGTTGAAATACCTGATATGTCACAGCGCAGAAAGTATCTCTCAAAAAACTTTTAAACGTTGATGTCTTTTTAATCGAACACAATTGGCGAATGCAATAATCCAGAATGGTGCGCAGAAAAATCCTTTAGACTAACAGAACGTTATTTTGGCAAAATTTGCAAAATGAGAGAACAAGTAACACGGCTAATCCTACTCTACTGTGAAAAACATTTTACATCCCTAAAAATCTAGTTCAGCATGTACTCTCCCAAAATCTTTGCATAGAAAATGAAGCCAGGGCAACTGAAGCATTTTGTAGTAACACCAAACTGACAATAAGACAATGCGGTTTGTACATTTTTAGCGGCATCGCCAGACGGCTTAATAAACAAAAACGCTATCGTAGAAATATATAAAATGTCCAATTTAAATAATGCTTAATTCAATGAAATGATAAATTTTGGGAAAATAATATGATAGAGCCCTAGAAAAATTGTAATTATATGCCTTACTTCCGGAGAGAGTAGATTCTCGTTATTATACAAGTCAACTCATTAGACAAATTGTAAAAAAAAAATTGTACAATTAAAAATTTTTATTTGCATTTGCGTCATGTGTAGTTCATATAAATCTTTTGCCCTTCTAGTATAAACACACACAGGAATAAATAGTAATATTGGAATAGGTTTACTGGAGATATCACGTAAAAACGTGCCTATAATACTCTACCTCATAGGTGGTGCGGAAAAGAGTATCAAAAAATTAAATTTAAATAAATATGATTGTTCAAGTAAATAAGTGGTTAGTGAAGTGATGAGAATCTAAATCTTGTCAGTTTTGTGTATTGATTAATATATAATATGACAGATTAATAAAAAATATTTGAATAATTTTTTCAAAGAAAATATTTTAGTAGAATATATAAAATTATAAAAATTTGCATACTTTTAAATCAAATTATGTCAGCAATGAAAGAAGTCGACTTGTAAAAGAGTTTCAACAATGTTGGTCAGCTAAGAGTATTTATGAGTTTTATGACTTAAAGTACCTGGACTGATTACCTGAAAGGGTCGGTCGGCAAGGCCCCCTGCTGTGTAAAACTCAGCCATTTATTGAAACGGAAAACTTTGTAAATAGGGTTGCCTGGTTTCACTTTATTTTAGTCAGTATTTTTTTAAAAAGCAAATATTTTGATAAATATAAATTTTAAACAAAAATGACCGGGTCTTCCCCATAGAGCTCAATGTTGTCTTTGCACTGATATAAAAGTTGAAGCGAAAAATGCTCTCTCCTCGTCTAAAAATGCAATTTCCTTCGAAGAATAAACGATTAATTAAACACTAAACAATCACTTATTTTGAAAAATATTGTGTCTTCCCCAGAGATTTAGACGTAATCTATCAATTGAAATGTCGATCTTTTTTTCAAAGTTGAAATTACGCTGGTAAAATGAAAATCTATTTAGCTCATTTTTCGGTCTGCTACTGGGCACCCTTAAGTCTGTAAAGGTGGAATCATCGCTACCACGAATTTTAAACTTTGGTTTAAAAAAAAGTAAACTTTTCTGAGGTGAATTCCGTAAAATCTTTTATGTTTTACTGTAAAATTGCCAAAGTGCCGTACAATGTACAAATATTGTTAAATATTTTAGTTTAGTAGATAGACAACCAACATTACACGCACATACAATTAAAACAATTGTAAAATAAAAAGTTTAAATATTAGTATGTTTCCTTTAATTAAATAAATTAATATAATGGGCCATATGAATAAAAAATTAAGTAAAAGCTTTTACTACAGAAGTAAAAGGAAATGCTTCATATCAGAGCTTTTATTTTCTATGAAAGCGTTTGATATGAATAAACCCGACCATTTACTTCATAATGGGAGTATTTACTTCAAAAATCATGCATCTGGTTGGGATAAGCTTCGACGTGAAAGTAAAAACTTGTCAGTCAAATCAAAATGGCAGAAGTAATTGTCGTTCGTCAAGAAAAATGTTATACACCACGCAATTCTCCATATACACGTGATTTTAAAAGTTTGTATCGTTTTGTTATCACAAAAGAAATTAATTAACCAAAGCTGGCTTTTAATTTAGACCAATTTTTATTATTTGCTGGCAATATAAATCTATTTCTTTCTAATTTAGTTGCAAAATTTCAACAAAATTTTGCTGTTTTTATCACTAGTAAAAAAAGTTTCCGCATCCTTCAGTTAATATGCATCTGATTGTGATATTTTCCTCGTAACCTCAAATAGCACATCCTTTCTGAAATTAGTTTAAATTCTCTAAAAGCACCTTTGAATTCATCGTTAATAACACTAGTTTACAAATTTAAACTTTTTTTCATATCCAAAAATAAAAAAAATGTTTTCTAATTCTAAATTACTGATAACAAATCCAAAAACGGATAATCCCTATCACGTCAGGTTTTTTCATAAATCCAAAATAATGAACTTTGCTTTTACCTTCATGTTAGTTTTAAACTGATTCATGTTAATGCACCATTGTCGCATAAAAAATGTCTTCGAGATCGTGCAAAGTAAGTGCAAATCAGTTTTGTTACGTTTGTGGTAAAATTATAGTACCTAAAGCGGGAAAACCTGTTCAAATATGCTTAAAAAGAAAGTATCAAGGTTTTTGGGACGAAAATGTGTTACTGTTGGTCTATTATAAGGGAAACTGACAGTACTGCCAATAAAAGAAACGCTAGTGTTAATCATTTTTAATTTTCAGTCATAATGTTTATAATATATACTGGGTGTTGCTTTTATTTGATACAACCCCTGTAACTTCCTTATTCTTAAAGATAAACCTGTATTTCTTTGAGCATATTAGTATCATTTTAAAAGATCTTTGTGAGGCCAACCTCACATTTTTATTATCACTTCCCGTAGAGAAATCAAAAGCAACCAATTATTCTAAAATCAATACTTGAAAATTTTTAAATAAAACATTGATGACAATCTAGTAGCTTGAAAAATTGACTCATGTTATTTATTTACGTAAATGATTTTTTAAAATGATACAAATTTGCTCAAAGAATTATATATGTTCATGTATATTTAAAAATTAAAAAATTACAAGAGTTGTATAAAAGAAAAGAAATACGGGGTATGTTTATACAAATATCTCAAAAACCTGACGTGATGGATTTTTTCTGCTTTCAGATTTGAATTTCCCGAACCCAAATCCTTTAGATTCAACTATTTTTCTCTTTGGATATAAAACCTTGTAAACTAGTGTAATTTATGTTCTCTTGACGTTCAAAAATTTGATGAAAATCTTCTTTAGTAAACCCCATTTAAATTTGTTAAAAAATTGGTCGACCGTTATTATGACAGAAATTCCCTCATTCTTGAAGTAGCATAAAACGTATCAAGCTTTTTCGAAAAATTAGAAAATTTGAATTTCGGAATTTAATTTTTTTGAGAACCCCTATAACTTTACATAAAGATAATATATGTAATGTTAAACTAAATGTAAAAACGCGTGCTACACGTATGTTTCCAATGAGTTTTTCTTTATAAAATTTTGTGATGACGTCATCAACATTTTTTCAAAAACACGTATATCAATTTGAATATGTGCAGTATAATACTAATAAGTAGTAACAATGTTGCATTCCAAAATTTTCTGAAAAATACCGGATGTCTGGAAAATGACGGATTAACTCCTCGCTACGCTCTTAACAATGAACTGGGAAGTCTGGGAAAAATATTAAAACAATTTCTTGTCATATTTTGATGGAGTTACAATGATTTCAAAATTGGTTCTTTTGCTACGTTTAACAACTATAGAACACATTCATTATCATATTAATTAGTAATCAAATTTTTAGTTAATATTTCTCTCGCCCATGACCATTAACATTTCAGTTAGAATGTACAAAGACTAGCCCCCCGGCCGCCCTCTATTTTCTTAGACAATATGTCATTTGCCAAAATCAGTCTTGTCTTAGCAGGTACTAGCCCCGCCCACCCACCCTCTCTTTTCTTACAAGATATCTCATTTGCCAAAATCAGTTTTTTCTTAGTAGACACTGGTGTTTGCGATTTACTTAGAATTTCTGAGTATTTCGTTTGAATCTTTATTATCATCACCATTATTAGTTGATTCTTCCTCACCTGACATTTTAACCACAATAATTGACAATAAAGACTAATCGAAGTAAGTGCTTTTATTTCGACCTTTTACTCATAAGCATTATTCATACGGCCCATTGGTTACATTATCATTTTTATCGCATATAAAAAGTTTTTTAGTTGGAAACTATTACTTAATCATTTTCTCCTCTGCTACTGTCACAAAATTTATTTATTGTAACGTGTTTTACAATTTGTAAGTAAATAAGGAATAAAATTTTAAAAAACTAAAAAAAAAGTTCAGCTGCAGTTTTGTAAAAATGTATAAAAAAAACCTTATGATGTTATTTAATTGGTATGTTTTTCTTTGTTTTGGTGGAGATCTGGGACAAACCTAAGTGGATAATCGATGATTATGTCAGTGAGGGTAAGTAAGATAAAATCCCCCTTTCCCTCTCGTTTGTTGGGTAAATTTGCATAAATATACAAATATAAACCAGACCTACTTATCCATGATCTCAAGTCAAATGGATGACTGAAGCTTTAGTGGTAGCGTGCTTACCGCAATTTTTAAATATATAATTATACTGAGTATAAAAAAGCTGGGGAAAATGCTTATAAGCAATTTGTAAGAGATCACGTAGAGCAAATATTGCAGATATGTTTTCCATTTTCCGTCACTGATGCTGTTGACAACGCAGCGTTATAAAAGTGGAAGTTTTTAAATTCTGGTTTAAACAAGACAATTGTGACAAAGTTCTAGAACCAACGAAAATGTCGTATTATGCCTTATTTTTAAAATAGTTTTGTTATTAAATATTAGATAGGCAACCAATTTTACAAGTTGTTACGAAGGCTTTGAAGAATTCGAAAAAAATGGTTAAAAAATTCCCTGTATCAAAATTTGGAAATGAAAAGATGAAGAATTAAATTCGTAATTTTGATTTGTTTTAATGAACTGCTTGTCTAATAGACAGTTACATGATTAGTTATTACTAATAATAATTTAAAAATAATCTAAAATACGATCCACAACGTCATCTTTTATTGTGAGAGATGCCATATTTTGACAATTTTTATCGGAATTTTAGACTGTCAATTAAATTACGAAGTTAATTCTTCGACTTTGAAGTTTAATATTTTGAAAAATTTGGTTAAGGTATGTTTATAAACATATTTTTCGAGTTCTTCATAGCCTTATGAACAACGTGCCATCAAACTTTTTCGTCATTTTTGGATAAAGTAAAAAATCCCAACTTTTGTATTTCTTTATATTTTCTACAACTTGAAGATTAGAAAAATTAGTAGCAGTCTTGATCTAATAAACTAAATCTAATAAACTTAAATTATAAGTATTTTTTCATTAAATCGTTCAAAAAAAAAAACATTATTTTGCTTTTGTTAGCCATTTTTAACCCGTTATTTACTTTTTTCCACATGTGCAGGTGTAATTCCAATCTGATTTTGTGAATTTATTCTAGGGATGGGATGGAACACACAAGCCGATTAACGTAATAATAAATTTTATAATTGTTGAGTACAAAACAAAAAACAAATAAACATGTTATGTACAATAAATTAATTATAACAAAAATTTTACGAGTATTGTCACTTACACCTTGGATCTTGTCCGTGAATAAATTAATGTAAAGTCCAAAATGTACCTGATGAGAGGTCTCGTAAAACTTTCATTTTCCGTCGTAGAAACACATCTAAAACGCATTTACAGTGTGTTTTTAAAATTGGGCTCTAAAGTAAAACTATTTTAATATTAAGTCACGCCACCTAAGTACTTTCGAACTATACATTTTAGAAATAACAACACATAACACAACGAAATTCGAACACACAACGTGGACACCGGAAAAGTACTTACGTGGACACTTTTCTATTAAAATCGCTTTTGGTATTTAAAAACACCCTGTGAACATGTGTGATTTATAACAACAACAAATGGATGCAAGTCTTGAGATGATTGTTTTACTTACTAGACTAGATAAAAATTTTAGAAATCGTTATATAGAAAATTTTCTGTAGGAAGAGACACTTTACACTTAACACAAAATATCGTTATTTTTTGCTATTTATATAGATACATATTTACAAATTCGACTGGAGGATGGTGTCAGTATTAGTTTCTATCAAAGGCGCTGTATCAGCACCCCTCGATACCAGCATAGGCGATTTAACGTCGATAGTCCAGGGCTCCAGGAGCTGGGGCCCGTTGTGGTTAGGAGTGGAATGATCTGGAAACTTTACAGATTTCCTTGGTCCTCTGTTGAAGATGTTGGGTGAATTTTCTTCCGTTCCGAGGGACGTATGGGGCGCTGTTCCTGTGGGACTCTGCGTTGGCGTTGGTCTCGTCTCGTGGTAGGTTACTGGTCTTCTTGTACTTAGGTAACTAGTGGCTGTGGGTTGGGAGCTGTAGTGGATGTTCGGGACCTGAAAAAAGGGAAGTGGTAAAGTGGGGAAGCACGAAGGGTGATACTGAACAACACATTTGTAATTATCAAATTTGTTTTGAAAATTGTGTTAACTACGTTTTCTGGTACATTTACCCACTTTTTGGTTAAAATTGGCATGCACTTAATAACAGAGGGGTATCTATGGTACCCTGCTTTACCCTACTGTGTAGAAGTCCTGTAGTGGGTAATTCGTCTCCTTCACGAAGGTTTTCCTATAGACAGATAGAAGATAGAGAGTATAAGGTTTGTCCAAGAAAGTTTGCGTGTGGTTGTCTGACCAAATTGTGTGGAAAGTGTCATAGAAGTGAGTGATTAAAAGGAAGCATACAAATTTTTGTGGTTTTCAAGTTTTTGATTACGTTTTTTGTTACATTTTGTAATTTGTGGTATGTTTAAGGATAGAGGTGGTACTTACCTGATCTTTCAGTTAGATTTTTAGAATCAGAGAAACCAAAAATAAACGTGTTTTTTTAATTTGAAAATTAGTTATTCATTCATCATAAATTCTCTTGTTACCTTTGTGAAAAACTTGAATTCAAATATTCCTATTTTTGAAACTGCTATATGTGCTTTATACTCCGTAATCTTTGGATAAATTGAATTTAAATTGCTCGACAATACTTTTTGTACTGTTTCTCTTTGCCTTTTTGAATCCAGAATTAGTTTTTCGAACGAACGGAAATCCTTTCACGATTCTCTCGACTTCTAAAGACGTCTTTGCTTTGATCGCGCTTTGAATGCCGTTTTTCGCGTTTCAATGAAACATCACATTGAAATTTCCTCGAGTTAATCATTTTAGTTAAGTACATAACTATCACCGCAAGCTCTTATGTATAACCTGTCATATTCAGTTCCCCTCTCAAATTACCTAGTTCGTAATTGTGACTTCTCAACCCATCATAGCACCCACATTCCCTCGTTTCCATGTGGGTGAAACATTAAGTATCGTGACCGAGGGTTCGATTATTGTATTACAGGATGTAATTTTATTAACGTTTTGTGACAAGGGGAAATGGTCTTACCCTGTTGTTTTGATCGTCTTGGGCCCTACCTCGACCCGCTTTTAATTCTTGATATTGAGATATCACACATAGTAAGGCATACACCTGAAATACGTACTAGTTATAACTTAAATTTTTGAAAATTCGTTACTTACATTTAAAGATGTAATAAAAAAGTCTATCGTTATCAAAATGGCTATGCTCGGATTGAACTTTAGCTGTAAAATAAACATTGATGCCGTGTTCAAACGTTGATTCGACACTCACCGCATGTTCGATAAATTGATGACAAATGTAGGCTAGATCCTGAAGAATAAATAAAATTAGATTTATGATCCACGGTATTAACAAAAGTTTGCAGTCCTGCGAACAAGAGTTATTATTTTCTTAATGCGATTAACCATAATTCTCACCTTATAAAGTCCGTAAAGCAGTAGGCAGGAAGTGGGTATCCCACAGGACGATACCGACAAAGTAAGCAGGGTAAATGTGACAGAAGCTGAAAAAATCCAATTTCTCTGTGTCATTAGGAAGATAATTGGAAATGAGGAAATTTGGATGGGCCTCTGTAGTAAAATTATTAATAACAAGTTTTCGTGTTTACATTACCGCCAGAACCCGAACCCACCGGAGGGGTTTGTTCACTTTTGAAAGGTTTCGTTAAATTTTACAGAGTTCCATGTTGGGTAAAGTGGTTGTTAAAAAAATACGTACACGGCGATGTTGTGTCGGGATCGAGGTTTGTCGCGTGCTTCATGTCTGTACAATTACTACTATTCGTTTTCAAGGAACAATTTTTGAGGTATTCCAGTTCTTCGTGGAGAACCATGGAAGAGTGGGCTGCCGTGATGGTGTAGTAGAACTGGAAAAAAATAATTTCATGTATATGTGCAGACGAGGTGAGGTTAGTATGAATTTAGAATCAAGTGTAATGAAATCATTAAGCATCCAATTCATGGGTTTGAAAATCATGAATTGCGGCTTAATCCATGTTAGCCCCTTTCTAAGTTCCGTAAATTTAAATTACAAGGTAGTAATATTTAATTTTTTGCTTTCTCCTGTCGTAGTTTGTCATGAAAAATGTATGTTAATATTTAGAATAAATAAATTCCGGTGTTGGATCTTGATGTAACCATTGTGTATATTTTTAGTGCTTCCATGTAAGTATTTATTGATTATTTAAATTATTTTCTTGTCATCGTCGGGGCATTAAGTCACGGCCTTCAGGTGTTAATTTTTTCTTCAAGAACATGACTTGAACTTTAACATAATTTGAAGGGCGTCTATTGTAACGTTTCTGAACAACGTTTTACTACTTTTTTAAGCTCGTAGGTCTTGGTTCTATAGGTAGGTTTCGCAGTGTCTAACAAGGGAAAAAATCGATGTTCCCTCTGTCATATTTGCTTGTTTAGGTAGAAATCACCCCCAAAACTTTTTCTATATTTCGCTTGATTTATATTCTTTGTGTTTTGCTTGCAACTCGGCATGAATTTTAATTTGAAAATATTTTCTTACGCAAAAAGAAACAAAAGTCTTGTTGGTCTTGTTTATCGCATAATTTACATCAACATGTATTTCTCAACTTGGTAGAATCTAAGCGGTCGATAGCTGTCTGCTTGTTTTGGTATTGTACCGCTTGAAACTTTTGTTTTATTAACACCCTATCCCGCATCCAGAGTGGTGTGTGAGAACCGAATTATGTAGAGTGGATTTTGAACAAACTCATCAAATTTTTAAACTTTCAATTAACGCACTAAAGACCGGTTCGGAACAAGAAAAAAAGAGATAATCGTGGCGGCTCCTAGTTAAACTGATGCCATAACAACTTTAGTCGTTCTAATAAGTTTTAATAGCGTTAATAAAATGGAAATCCTGTTAAATATTTATGCTCTCAACTCTCTTTTGTGTACTTTCAAACATTAAGTAATTAATTAAGGTACTTTTTCGATCTTTAAAATTGCATATTCATAGGGGTTGCGATGGAAACTTTTCCATTAGAAGTTTCATTTAGTTTTGTTAGTTTTATCACAAAAGCAGTGTTTGGATGAGGGTTTTTTTTGTTTTATTGATTATTTGACGGTATGTTGTACCGACAAACTGGCATCCATTACCGACAAAATTGTGTTTACTTATGAAGGGGCATTTATTTACTTGAAAAACTCCAGTAGCGGAAGAAAAACAACTTCAGTTCGATTAAAAACACACAATATGGGACATGTTTTTTGTAATTATCTAATTGATTCATAAATACACGATGACCACACAATATAGAACTTGTTTGACGTTAATTCACAGGTTAAATGCTGCTTTTTTAAACGTATATTATAAAAAAGAAAAACTAAGAAGAGAAATTAGGGCTATTATTAGGAAAATATTTAATGTGACCATTTAAAATTTCTAAAGCGTCAAACCCTGTTGCTGAGTTCTTGATGGAATTTATTTCGCATTTTGAGGAAGCGCTGTATAAAGATTTAAAGATAAAAAAGACGGCAATTGCAACTGATATAAATTTAGAGTACTTAAATTGATTCAATAAATCCAACTAGTGTTCAGATAGATTTTATACGCTCAAACTATCATCGATTCTCTCCCATTTTATCGGGTGCCACAGTCTAGCACTTAATCCTTCAGCACAAAGGAAATTTCTCTAAAAACGTCCGATAATACACTAAGATGTCCACGGTCTTGTGATCATGTAGGTCAGTATTGCATGGCCGAAATAATTTATTACGTTCTCTAACAAAGAGATGAACGCTGCAGGGTTTAGCTTTCGTTGTTTTGTTGAAATTTCATCTCGAGCTTGATTAGATCCTTAAAATTTATCAAAGGCCGGTTTGCTGCAGGAAATCGTTGCATGGATAAGAGGGAAGATCGTTGAAAGTCTTATTTGCGAAGTAATTGTTGGGAGATTAGTATTTGTTTTCTTGAAAAGGCGAACTGTTACGAAACATCTCAATCAAGATAGCTGCAGTGTAGATGAAGTTCTATTTAATTACTGTACTAGGACTTGGACACAAGTGTTTTCATAGTTGCAACAAAATTCCGTTTTAATTATGACATGATTGTGTGTCTGTCAGTTCGTTGCAACTTTTCGCCGGGGAAAATCTAACCAACAAATCACTTTCGTTTTTTCCGCAAATAAATTATCCTCGAGCTTAGCGCATTGATACTGTCCAAACACTCATCACACCAAATTAAACATTCCGAATCGTTCCAAACACACACGGAAAGAAAAAAAAATATTTTGAAATATCCGTTTCGGTAATCCTCGGTCTCGTGATGGATGGATCAGCAGGAGTTAAACATGCTTCCTGTTTCTATGACAACCCGAGGCGGATTACAAGATCCACCGGACATGAATATACCATACCCAGGCTCGCGCCAGTTTAAAATTAACCCTTGTGCCTTAATGCGTTTGTTCCAGACTTTAATCACGATATGACTTTGGGCCTCAGGTGTTCTGATGAATCTATTCATATGACGACAATAATCCAGTTTTAATAAATGGCCTTGTTAACTGAAATGCTTTGCATTTAGGTAGTTTACATAATTCTAAGAGAGATGAATAAATTGCTGAGCAAAAGCTGCCGCAATAATTATGGGAAGCTTGTCGAATCGATATTTGGCGACCGTCGTTCGTGTAAGTAATATTAAGGTAATATGTAATGAGTAGGTTATGTATTGGTTATTGATTAGCGAGATTATTGTATTAAACTATTTAACCTATTTGTGTATCGACTTATACGCATAGGGGTTTAAATTGAAAAAGGGAAAAATCAGTTTTTCATAAACGTCGAATCCTGGAATCTTGCCATTGAAAGGGCAAAGGTGAGATCAGTTACAATAGCTACATTTGTCGGCATTTGTGCAAAAATTTCAAATCAACGTCGTAACAAGTTGTTGTATATGAAAATCCAGGCTGTTATAGATTCAGTTTTTGGGGTAAGACGACGAAAACGACAGATGTTGAACTGTACATCACTAATACCACGTTTATTAAAACAGTCTTCACATGCAAGCCGAGCGTTTTCAAGCGATTAAAAAGTGAATTCGCCATTTTCTCGGAAAGAAGAAACTCAGCACAAATCATCCTACTCCAGAATCTTATCAAGTAGTAGAAAGGGTGTTTGAATTAAATAGGGTAAAGGTCAAATCGTACGGTTACATTTGTTCGGGATAAGATTCGATCTCGTCTTGAATTAAACGAAGCGGTTTAGCAGATTAGCTCAGCCGCTTTTCTAACAATAATTATCGTCAAATGGAATTATCGCTGGGTTGAGACGTGTTTTCTCGACTGAGGTTTTGATATTTGAAGAAATCAATTCTTGCGTTTGTACGTACCCACTTCGACGACTTCAAAGGGAAAGCAAATCCGCCGTAAACCGTAAAACAGCAAGAAGAGTTGAAACCTGTCACGTCAAATTCTATCAGAAACTTTATAGAAACACGATGATTTTCTGTTTGCATAATTTTATAAAAGAATACTCGATTTGTATAAGTAGGCCCGGACAGGTACATTTTTATGCAAAAAAAGTGAAAAAGTAATTTAAAGTTTAATTAAGCTGAACCTCATGCATATTTGAATTTTAAAATAAAATTAATTGTAAGAGAGATAATGTTCGTAAATTATGGAATACCAGATATAGAGGCACTTTTTTAATTTAATAGAAAATAACAGTCGCGAACGCATTAGGAGAATCCGAGAAGCGAAATATGCAAACAATATTAAAATTAATGCCTGTTTACATTTCCATTATTAACATGTTCTCGTGTTATGGACATAATTAAAACCAGTAAAATTTATCGTTTTATAGCGGCTTTTAGAAGTCTTTGTCAGTTGAAATGACATATTTTCCAGTCCCTTCGGTTCAAGGACCCATTCGTAGTCAACAATTCTCCAACTATCATTTATAACTGTCGTCTTCCCTTTGAAGTCGAGTTAAAAACTTTTTATCACCATTAATTGTCCTTGAGCGTCTTCCAAGAACTTGAAATTTGTCGTCTACTTATCGATAATCATTTAACGAGTTTCATTTTTATTCTTCGCAGCTACACACATTCTTTATAGTTGGTATCTTGATGGTAATTTATTTAGCTCGGCTTTCCAGAACTCCTTTTTCGTAATTACTTCGCCTTCGTAGTTTATTTAGAGCATAAGGGAGAGCAAATGAGGAACTTTACGGTTAGCTAATGGTATTTGGTGGTAATTTTGTGATGAACTATTTCGACCCCAAAAGTGCTTTTCTTTTAATTAGAACGTTATTCTTCGAGGTTTTTATTTGGCGCTTGATTTTAACCCGGCGCATCCACCATTACGATAGTCGGATGTGCGCTTAATTTTTATGTCCCGTCCTTTTAATTCTTTTTAATCCTCGTCTCAAATAATAGGTCTACTATTCCACTGATCTAAATCTTATTCTGTTTAATTTAAAATTATGTTTTATATTTTAGTCTTCTACATTTCTATATTATAGAATGATTATTATCTCAGGTGGCTTTATATACATTGTAAACATTTGTCGGAAGCGAGTTCTCGCAAACTTTAATGTTGTATCAGATTTACTCCAAAATTTCCTCTTCGTGTTTTCTTTTTTTTTTCATCCTCTTTGTGGCAAGAAATTCCTCGTGAAATAAAACTCTGTTCCTAATTTTGTATATTTATTTCTGTGATTTTGAACGCGTATTAATATTTGAGACAGACGATGGCTCTACTAATAATAAATGACTTCCGTCGAAAAATGTTTTTCTCGTAAGCAGAAGTTTGCAAGTCGTACCAATATTTTATCAATCAAAGTCGTCGTAAAATTAAAGAAAGCTTTGTTTATGAGATACCCACTTAATAAAATTGTTTCGTCTGAGAGTTGTAAAAAAATGAGTAGCGATTACATGGGATTCTTTCTTCGGCGAACAAATATTTATGCAGCACTCGCTCGAAATTGCCATCAAAACAAACAAATCGATATGTTACAAACATAGAGTACGCAATTATTGCCGGAAAAATTTAATTTACGAATTAATTGTCTATATTATCTGTTTCATGTCCCGTTAGACTTTTATGCCAACTATAAAATAGACGAATAAAATACATTTTATTGCCCGAAGGACCTTATTTGCTGGAGTATAATCGTATTGTGTGTTAAGTGGACGGTTTCAGATAACCACCGTCATATATTTTTTCTTATTCCCAAAAGGTTTTATGTCGTGTCTCCTGACTCCTATAAAAATCCTAAATATGTTTTTCAGGCAATAAACTCGATATAATTTGGTGATGTAGATGTCATGTATGGGGGAGGTAGATATTAAATTTTCCTAAGTGGGGATCGGAGAATTTTTGATGGAAAACGTAATGGGGAAAACAATTAACAACACATTTCCGAACTCAGCATGTGGAGCATTAAAGTCGGTTTTCGGTCGTCAGTTAGTTGTGAGTGAAGGAGGCAAAGTTAACGAATTTTTTATGCAAGAGCTAAATTAAGTTTGGAAGTGACATGGAAGAAATTTAAAGTTGAGGCAATTATTTTTTGTTAAGCTGTGTTCATCGAATAAAAACAGAGGAATTTTAAGCGAGAATTTGCATAGCAACACGTTTGTAAGGGGGGTTAATTAGAAGTAAGAATAATAATGTATACAATTGTCTACACAAATGGAGGTTTTTTTTAAGGTAACTCTAGTGTCTAGAAAGTGTCTTTTTTTTATAATTTCATTGTTTATAAATAACTTTTGAACCCCATGCATGACGCTAATTCCCTAGTGTTCGAAAAGTTTTGAATTAATTTTGAATTTGCGTGCTTTCATAACGATGGGTATTTTTTATCACGGAAAACTTCCTCATTGCCGAAAGTTTGTTCAATAAATAAAAATAAATTCCACACCAATAAACCCCAAGCGCATAAATTCCCCAAAAAGAAAAACTAAAGCGAATCGACGCGTTTCTAGCTTTCCTATAATCTATTAGAAAAAGCTTTTAGGAAATTATATAAGGCTTGAATCCAACTTTTGCTCGCATGAAAGAAGTTATTGCACCTTTCGTTCAGCGAACGAGATTTCGACTGTTTGTGAACTATCAGTCTGAGAAAAACGATTTTATTACTTTTGTCGCAAATTGCCGATGAACTTTACATTTATATCCTGATAACTGGTAAAGACACGAATCGCTTTCAAGATTTTATTCGCTTTGCATTTTTGCTAGTTGGAAAGTTATAAATTTAATTAAGTGTTCCGAGTTAGTAGGCAGTAAAATAAAATTAAGGATATAGTGTATAGAAGAAAAGAGCTAAGGGAGATACGATGAAGTCAACATTTATCTAGCTTTGCATCAAACTCTAACTTCCTTGAAATACATTACGCTACATTATCTCCGATACGAAACTCCCTAAAGACGTATACTATCCTGTCACGTCTTAGGGGTACACTAAAATGCTCGGCAAAATTAATTCCTGCACATCATAATGTTTGAAAGCACCCGAATCTAAATGAGTCTAATTTGAGCGGTTAAGCATCTCCGAAAAAGGATTATGAATGTACTCGAGCAGAAAACGAAATAAATTATTGTTCTGTGACGCCGAGAGTGAGTTAAATGAAAAAATTCTCACACTTTTGTTTGGATTCGCGCGCCCGAAAAAGTAACAAGGGGTGAATTTCGAGATGGAAATGGGCAATTAAGTCGACTATGCTGAAATAGAAGCGCCTAATTACTTCGAACGAAATTTAAACCTCTCCTACTATAAATTTAACCAACTAGTCGAACTTTCAGGGATCAATTGTACTTGTTCTGATGGTGGAGTGTGAGTCAGTAATGGACCACACATACAAATACTAACCCGAAACAGAAATTTGTCCTTTGTCGCTGGTACAAATTACGTATTCGATTGTTGTACGGGGGATACATAATTCGAATTTCAATGATGCCCGAACCTAACTAGATTTAGGGTTAGACTATTGCAACAGTATCGGTTTGATGTTTAACAGTAAGTTTAGTATGTGTTGGGAGTGTTTAAATTATTGATTATTATAGTATATTTTGCGTTGTACGTGCCATTGTTATTTTTAATTTTAAAATTCGATTTTATCAACTATCAAGCAATAAGATGGCAATAGCAGAGAAAAGTCGATTAGATTTTGTCACATTCGTTGCAATGTTGTTATAATTACATGGTTAACGTCAAAATATGAAATGATTAATTACTATGAGACACATAATCGATAAATATTTAAAATTTAAATTTCATTTTTTTGTGCTTTCTAAAGAAGGTAAGTGAAGTTGACAGATTTTTTTCTATGTTTAGAGGTTGAAGTAATTGTCACATGTATGTTTGTTAATACTGTATATAAGACCACTTTTGAGTTACGTTTTAAACCCAATAAAAACCTCATTGCACTAAAGCGTAAATAAAAGTAGCGTTTAATACTGCAAGGATTGCCTCGAAAAGGAGTTTATTAAGTGTTTTATGTCGATTTCATTTATTCGCCGCGAGTACGCGTCCCACTGTGTTTGTATGGCACTTTCAAAAATAAAAGTCTCACGACGACGCCCGAGCATTTAGGTCTTTCATAAAAATAAGTCACTTCGTTTGTCGCCGAGTGCAATATTGCGTATACAAAGTACCGCTTTTGAGTGGTTTCGAAAGACGATATTTTACAAACAATACTGCCAGTGCAATATCTGATCACAAACACATTGCGAGTTCACATCTCGTTTAGTCGTTTCGTGTTGTGTTGGATTCTTTTTAAAATTAAATTATATCAGAAGCAACCCTTTTCGTGGAAATAAACTTTATGAAAGGTAATATTTTTAAGGGGGATTTTACATATCCCACTTCCTTTGAGACTTAAAGGGAATTAGAGCCGGTATAAAATTCATAAGTTTTATATTCGTTTTAACCCTTTGCATTTTTTCCAGCCATAATTTTATTTAATTTTCCTGGGAATCCCTTTCATGTGTTAATTTCGGGTTGGTCTGATCGGGCCTTAAAAACGGAGGCCGATAATGAATCATCTCGGTGTGTTCCCAACGGTGCGATAAAATAAAAATATGCCTCTGCGGATGATATATTTTCGGCAGGATGGATTGGAATTTTTATATAAATATCGTGACAGTTAGGAAATTGTCTCCTGGAAAGTAGCCGTTTTGAAAATTTATAGCGTTCAAGTTCCATCTTGGTGACAAGGAGAACTACTTCCATATATACTCAATTAAGTTAAGCGACGCTTTCTACAATTTATAGGATCCAGCTCGATGGTAATTGAAATAGTGGAAGGAATATAGGTTCTGACGAGCTTGTAAATGTTGAGACCGTTACCAGATTGAAGCCAGATTCTTTTCGTAATAGAATCGTGCAACCGTGTTTTAATGTATGCGTCGTAGTTCGAGTCCATGTTGCAAAACAAATGTTGACATATGTATCAGCAAAATGAATAATAGAGCTCGAATGTGGTTTAATTTAGGGAAAGGTTTATGGTTACCGACACCGTCAATATTTGTAGTAGAATAGTTTATTTTGTAGATTTCCAGCCACTGGTTATTTTGTATGAGGGGTAATTTAATTTTCTCCAGAATGTTGTTCTGCGCACCACACGTGTAAACACAGTTCAGACTTCTGTAATCAATTATGTAGTTTACAATTCACGAAAAAAATGTATGTGGGGTTTGTTTTAGATAATACATAACGGTCTTCTCCAAATAGGACACGTCAAAGAAGATTTAACAACAACGTTGATTACAATAATGGGTATTGTCATATTTTGTGTGCACATTATCAGTTATTCAGGTGAAAGTCGCACTCTATCAATGTTTATTTGTCGTCTAAATCACATTTATCTTACTAAATATACTCTGGAATTATTTTATTGTTGTTATTGTTCACTTTATTTTTACGAGTTGTTATTCTTTGTTTTTGTGACAAGCATGTGACCAAAAAAAATCAATAAAATCATAACAACAAATTCAGCGTAATCTATTTTGAGTAATATTTTGCATTTTTGGAGAGATGTTATTTCATTGCTGCAACAGCTTCATCCAGCACCTTATCAAAATATCTGTCAAATTTTGTTACTGATATATCTAAAGATAAATCTTTATGGATGAAGCCGTAATTTTAAATCAGACGTTTTTATTGCACTTTAAGACTTCTCTTTCACGTGGTTCTATTGATCTTCGAAAACGTAAATATGCAAAAAATAATTTTGATCTACTAATTTATTGTTTTGTCTCTTTTTGGCGAGATAATTCCATTATTAAATGAGTGCAATGCACTTTTAATTAAGTAAGCTTATTTGTGATAAACCGACGCACATAAATGTTTATTACGTACTCGTGGAAAATGTGTTGTCTTGAATATTGAGCGAATCCCCCGCTATTATTTATATTAAATCCACCTCCACACATGAAAATTATAGGTAAGTTTATGATGCAAACCGCCGTAACAAACACGCTGATAACAAAATAACGACGCATAAAATACGTTATTATTCGATTATATCGCATTCGATTGTCCTGATTTCCAGTCAAGATACATAGTATAAAGTTTATATGCAATCACATTCGACGATAATTGTTCGGAACCGATTTAGATTATCATCCACTGGGCACAATTCCAATTTTACTCCGCTTTAATACATTTTGTAACATGTCGGTTATTTATGGTTTCAGTAAAAAACTACTCCAAACTCTGTCGGCTTTGATAAATGAAATATGTCAATTTAGATGCTCAGAGTAAAAAATCTGGAGCTTTATCTTGTACGGGTCGCCCACAGTGTCCAGATTTATTGTCACCGTCGCGGTTAAGAACAATAAATAATTTTTAAATAATATTGTCGCGGTAATTTATGGGTTGCGTGATGGTAATTTATGAGGGAAAAAAGTTTGGACAGTGAAATTTCCTTAATTAAACACGGATTATCCGCAGAAATGATAAATGTGTATTAATCTATCTCTGTTCCGACGCGATTATTTATCAGCAGCCACGAAATCATTTATTTAGCAAGTTAATAATGTGATGGTATAAATCTGTTCCTTGCGGTACCATTACTGTAATATTGACGTTCATCTGTTTAATTGGTGCAACGCTAAGACTAATGGACAGTCTGAAGATGCTGCTGGATAAATAGTTAATATAGCAAATCTCCAACGTTTAAAGTGTGCCACTTCGTGATCTTACGTTGTCCCGCTTTGCATAGAAAGTACCTAAATAAATTATTTAATTAAACAATAATCAAATTAATGTTCGCTATAAGCAAGTGCTCCACGAGGTGGCAAAATTCATTTGACAAAGTGCAAGAGAATTAGCATTTTAGTGGCTTCCAGTACTAAACACCAAAATAAAGTGTCTTTTATAGACCATTTTCCTTAAAAGCGTGCGTTTTAGCTGTAAAATGTCTTTAGCTCCCTTCGGCACTTTAATCAAAGTTTAAATATTAGTTGCTTATTTCAGTTTGTTGACTCTGTTGCTCCTTCGTGAATATAAATGAATTTTTAATGCGAGAGTGTATGGAGAAACTGCAAATAGATCAATAACCGGTATACCGTAAAAAATGGATTTGCTTTTTTGATAGTACGTACGGGAATTTTATCCCTCGAAGCAAAAACTGAGCACTTGTACACGATTACGGTTATAACAACGACACAGAGCTGAAGCAGATGTTAAAATTTTATTCTTTTGCAGTGGAAAGAGAACACCGTGCTGTACGTTACGTGTTTTCACGTCGTATCAAAAATATTGTTTTATCAGGGTGCTGTCTGAATAACAAGGGTTGTTGTTTTACGTTTTTGTGACTGTATTATGAGTGCGTACACATTCAAAGCGAAAGACGTTACGATCATGAGCATATTATTATGTTGTGTTAATAAACAAGAAAAAATGGTTGCTTGTTTTTATATGACTGTCGGCTTCGGTAGATGTTTGTGTTTAAACTTTACAATAACAAAAAACATGTAAGCGTTTACAGTTTTAAAGCTTCAGTTTTTCACCTTAGCAGATAATCGTTTAGGATAACGTTAAAAAGAATGATTATTTTTTCAGTATTTTTAGAAGTTGTGGTATGCATAATTTAAAACACATACTTTAAGGTTATAAAAGATAGTCCAGGGACGTAAATTACGTTTCTCAGACATATTTCATAATTTTTCTCTTATGTATTGTTATATCCATCATTCCTTTTATCATGTGTAAAGATCATTACTCGTTCATCCGAAATCATCAGAATATAGATCCATCTGATCCATTTACAAACATCAACATTTTGTTTTCCGTGAGAACTGTAAACATTTTTCATCATTAACAAAAGCCAGCCACCATATTAAAGATATCCCATCCCACCGCTGTCACCAGATGTTGTGGGCCCGAACGGGATAAAACTGTTGTCTTTTAAATTACTAGCTTTAATTCTTCTTGACGAAAATACAAGATTTGGAGCAGATTGTTAAAATAGATAATAATTTACCGTGACCACTATAAATAGTAAATAATAAAACATGTGTTTGAAGGAACAGCTCCGAATTCAGCATTCTGTATTTTCGGGTATTAGAGAACTGAACGCAGTGATAAACTGCAAGGACAGCATTTCCGTAATCCTCATACAAATGCTTCAAAAGCAGACCGTACACAGCTTTTAATCTTGTATAAAAGCACATTATTCAAAATATTGACAGATCCGCCTGCTCTCTTGTATTTTTTGATCTTGGCGTGCTCTACATAGCGTTTCTTTTAAAAGCAGACGTCGACAACCCAAAACCTGAATTCGATACAGAAATGTAGACTACATTAATAACAAATGGAGCAACGACACATTTGAAAACGGACGCGATATTTCACCTCACCAAACAAAGGCAGAAGCCATTTATCTTGTGGTGATGTATTTCACTATATTCTTAGAAAACTAGCTCAAATTTCATTTGCATTTAGTGCCAGATTTGACGATCATTACGCAGGATGGAAACAACCCAAATGACCCTATAAAAAGGCATCGCCCATAAAGCAGACTTGATTCGATTAAAAGTGATTGACAGGTAGGAAAACAATTTGTGAGTTATTTCAGACCTTCAGCAAATTAGATAGAGCACATTTTAAATACTTCGAGTAGTGTTACGGGCAAAATAAACATTCAACTAAACGAGAGAAAAACTAATTGGTGTTGTTATTGGCCGGCGGTCAACATTCAAGTGATATTGAGAACGTGTGCTAGACTTCAATAGAATAATGGTGCACGTGTGGACTCTGAAATAACGTTCCTTCTGATCGATCAAAGCGCGAAGAACATGTCCGGAGTTACAAATGTAATAACAAGAGCGTAGATTTTTGTGGGGAAGACTGACCACACTTTTTCATTAAAGAATAAAGCCGCCGGAATCACGGAAAAGTGGATTTGTTCGGTGTAATTTCGTCTGGTTAGTCTGGCACGACGTATCCTATTAGTCCGAGATTATGAATTTATGCCTTTGCGACGCTAACGAGTTAAATATTTGTAAGAAAATAACACGAGATGTTTTACCAAAGAGAATACCGTGGATTCGTGCGACTCATATAACTTTGATGGTCGACATTATGACATTGCCAGACTTCCCAAATCCCGCAGAAAAGCGTAACCAAGAACGTGCAAAAATAGATAAATATTTTATCAGATTCATAAATCTTTTAGTTGGAATCCTCGCGATTTGTTGAAGTCGTTTGCTAAGTTACTAGAACCTTTTTTACTATTTCTCCCGCAGCATTTTATGACAAATTAAGGCCCATAAATTTTTGATGTTAGCGCAAAAATTCGTAAACGAATACTATAAATGATATATGAGAGAATTTGAGTAAGTCAGATTAATCGGGCGAACAGAGCGTAACCAATAAGTCGAATAATATCGAACACTATTTACTTGCCTCTGCGATGTTGAAAAATGATATCCATGTTTTTGTTTATTTTTCGACGTGGAGTAATTTTTTACAAAGAAAGCAGATCTCTGAGAATAACGAAAACATTTTTCTTATAAATAGCAATTCTATAGGACAAAGTCGAGTCAACATAATCCAAATATTTGTGTGTTCTTTTGTAGTGATGTGTTTTGGAACTGTTAAATTAGGTAAGGTTTATTTGGTCTTTATCCAATGCAGTTGTGGTTTTCTGAACATCTGTTTCGAAACTGATTGCTCTGATTACCGCTTTGGCACTCAACTAAACATGTTTTTTTTGTTCATATATACGTTTTCGTTTCAAAAATAAATTATCGATTATTGTATTTTTATTTCGCTCAATTAATGTTTCTTTTGTTCCGTCGTACTTAAGAATAAATTCTGTAGATTATGTTCGAAGTTATTTTACAATGAATTGAATATTGATGAGCCTGTTCTTAAAATATTTATTTCCCTGTCTTTCGGAAACATAACTTATTCGTTCGCACGAAGTATCAACGACTTTGTGCATCAGTAATTATAAAGAAAAAGGGCTAAACTCATTGTTCATACAGTGTATTATTTATAATTTTTATTCCAGTGAAAATTCTAATTAACGTCTAGAATTACAGACTCGCAGGACGTAGTATAATGTTAAATAAAAAATGAACCAGCAAATAACAATAAGCCTAATTTGGAAGAACTCATCAACCTGAATATTGTTTCGCTTAATTATCTGCAAGTCCCGGAATTATTCAGTTTATTATTTGAGTTTTTGACGGAATAACTTAAACTCCTCTTTTTCTGTTAACAATCTATAAGCAACTGAATAGCATCAACTAGGGTATGTAAAAAAAATAAAGGTTGTTATGTATCCTTTGTGAAATTCGAATTTTTCTTTCCATATATATTTATGATTTATACTTCGTTGTTTGAAAAATGTTTCCAGGTGACCTAGA